CTTTGAATTTTTGTTAGCAACAATCATTTGGTTTGAAATCTTATCTGCGGTTAATGTAGTTAGCAAGCAATTACAAACAAAAGATATGCTTCTTGATGTTGCTATTAATCAAATTAAAGGGTTAGTTTCTTTCTTCAAGAATTATAGAGAAAATGGTTTTTCTACTGCCATGGATACTGCAAAGGAAATTGCCACTGAATTAGAAATTGAGCCAGTGTTTCCTCAAAAGCGAAAAATTCGTAGAAAAAGACAATTTGATGAGAGTGCTGACGATACTTCACTATCTCCAGAAGAATCTTTTAGGGTTCATTATTTTTTATACATTGTAGATCAAGCTATTATTTCATTGACCCAGAGGTTTGAGCAATATGAAGTATATGAAGGAACATTTGGTTTTTTGTTTAGTTCTCACAAGATACAATCGATGGCTGATACGGATTTGAAATATTGTTGCATTTGTTTAGAAGCAGCTCTTAAGAGAGATGAAGAGTGTGGTGATATTGACCGAAATGAATTGTATATTGAGCTAAAATTGTTTAGAGAGATTTTATCGAAAGAAAATATAGGAGCAGTGAGTATATTGAATTCATTGAAACGGTTGGGTTGTTTTCCAAATGCTTCTATTGCATATCGAATATTATTGACTATCCCAATTACTGTTGCCTCTGCAGAAAGGAGTTTTTCAAAGTTGAAATTGTTGAAATCGTACTTACGATCAAGTATGTTGCAAGAGAGACTGAATGGATTAGCTTTAATCTCTATTGAAAATGACATTTTGGAAGAAGTTGATATCAAAAGCTTGGTGGATGATTTTGCGTCTAAATGTGCACGACGCATGTCACTTTTTAAATGAAATTTTAGATGTATTTTTTTATACAATATTTATATTTTAAATTTTTGAAGACAACTTTTTGAACAATTATTATTTATATATAAAAATTAATTGAAAAAGGGGCCCAAATTCAAATATTGCACAGGACCCCAATTTTTATTGGAACGGCCCTGACCCTTATAAGAGAGGGTTCATGTGAGAGCATGCTCTCAAAAAAAAAAAAAAAAAAAAAAAAAGTGAGGACTGATATGATATATCTATTTGGATAGATAAACGATTGAATGTTGTTGAAAAATAAGGAGAAAAGATGTGGAGTTAGTTTTATAAATATTTGCAATCTTGAAAGTTTGAAATAATTACTGAGTATAAACTTTTTTTTTTAAATACTATTGACTCTTTAATTTCTCAACCTGTTGATGCATAAATAGTCAACACCACTCCCACGGAGACTCAATCTCATGACCTTCTATATATGAGAGTCACTATAAACTTACTTCACCTGTTTTCTTTTTTACAAAACTTTCATTAATCTTGATAAACGACGGCTATGATTAGTCCTTTTTTTTTTTCGACCATTTCTCATTTCTAACCCTATATATAATAGCAAAATTTTTGGGGCACGCCCTCCTTATTCTACCCCTGAAGTGTAGTATTAGATTGAAATTGATTTAAAGTGCAGAGCAAAGCATCGTTTTCTTGTCCAAATAAACATAAAATTACAAAATCAAATTGACCAAAAATGATGTGAGTTCATTCACGATTACAAGAGCAAGGGAGATCAAATTGAGTACTAGAATGAACGGATTGAAGATGACTTCCACTTATCCAGATCTGCTCCTTAAAAAAAAAATAAAAAAAAATTAACCATAGTTTTCATAAGTTGACTATTAACTTCCTCATAGAATGCAAAGCACGCTTTTGGATCACTTTACGCTTATACCATTTTAATAAAAAGTGAACACTTCGTGGTACTGCTTAAAATTTAACATTTTTTGTTAGGGTAATAGAGTGATATAAATGAAATTAATTTAACAAGTTATTTAAAAATATATATGTAAATGTTGGATATTGGTGAATAAATCGAAACACAAAATATATATAAAATATATATTTGTCCTGAAAGATGGAATTTAATTTATAGAAAATTAATTCCAACCAATTTGATACGAAACCAAAATTACATATATATATATATATATATATATATATATATATATATATATATATATATATATATATAAACCAAATAGGGATTTATTTTATCAAAATAATCCCACCACAACTAGTACGAAACTAGTACAAGGATTTAATCTATCCGAGATTAATCCCACCACTTGGTCCGAAACCAAGAACAAAAAATAAACAAGATACGGGTTTCTAACCTGAGGTTTTAACCCAACGAGAAGAAAGAAGAAGCAGAGGAAGCCGAGTCGTGTGTACACACACTCTCCTTAAAACCGATTTGCCACCTCCCGAGGGTGCTAGGATCGCTGTGGCGTCAGTCTCCCAGGATAAAACGGACTACGACTTTGGCGTTCGAGCACTCTAACCCAAAGCCCGGCGAACTAGAACACAAGTTGAGCACTCCGATGTTTTACGGAATTATTGGCAGAATTTTCTTCTTTTTAACAAAAAGAGTTGAGAGTAGAGAGAATAAAAATCAGGAGATTTTGATTAGTTAACAAGACTTGTAAAACCATTCTGCCAATAACAAGTTTATATAGGAGAAGGGATTTAAAAGCATCATCATGGCACATTAACCAACATAAATCCAAGATTTAATAATTTGATAATAACGTTTGAAACGGTCGTAATTATTATCGTAATAATTCCAACGGTCACGAACTTAATACGCGATTAATTCGTACCGACCATAACGACCCGTTTCAAAATATTTGAGTGCCCGAGAAGTCCGTACAAACCCGAAGGTTTAACAAATTGGGACCGAAAACCACACCCGAGTGGTCCACACGCACCGAAACGGTGCAGCACGAATCAATGCATATAGCATTGACTCGTGCTGGAAGCACCGAATTGGTGCTGCACGAAAGAAGCTAAAACTCCATTTCACTAATTAAGCCTTCCAAGGCTTAATACAAAAGCTTCCTTCCATTCGTCCATGCATCATCACAGCACGAATGCATCCCAATTCAATTAAGCTTTTCAAACTTAATTACACTTAAGCTTCCAACCAACTTTCGTGCAATGCAACGAAAGTTATTAAAATGCTGATTTCTAATTAGCATTTAAATTTAAGTTTTTGACTTCTCTCAAATAGGTTCACTTTGAGAATCAATTTATCATTCACCTATTACCCATTTTGAGCGTACATTATATCAAATTCTTCGTCTCACTACGAAGAACCCGAATCCACTTTGACCCGACCCAAATCGAAAGTGGATCCCACATATATTTGTACCACAAAATAATCACTCAAAATGTCATTTTTAGCTAAAAATTCCAACAGTAAATCCACCATTAAATTTGGACTGTCAACTTGGTTTTTGCAGGCATAGTTGGCCCCACCAGAAAACAAAGCAACTCCCTTTTTCGCGCGTGAGGCGCTCATTCGGGCGTGTGCACTCCTCATCCAATGGGCACTTTTTTATGCTGCTGATTTCCTTTTCTTCTTCTTCTTGTTGTTCTTCTTCTTCTTCTTCTTTCATGTCTTTCTCTTATGTTCTCTTCTTAGTACGCACCTAAAATTTTGTGCTAAAAACTACATAATTGAGGATCCTTAGAGCATCTACATCAGGGGAGAAATGGGGGAGAATTCACTACTTTTGAGACCAAAATACAATGGTGGCAGAGAGAGAAGGGGTGGGGAGCATCTGCAAAGGTTGGGATATTACTCTGCCCAAGAAAAAGAATTAATGATGGATGAGAGAGAACCAATAGAGAAATGACATACTTATTTTTTATATATTTTTTTTTATAAAATCAGTTTTGATTATTTTTTTTCCTCTCCTCCCACATTATTATCTTTCCTACTCACTCTTACATTCTCCCCTTAATATCCCGAACGGACAAGGATGCTCTTACAAACTCTACTCAAGAATTTAGGGTTAAAGTACATGTACTATATAATTTTATTTAATTTAGTTTTATAAATTAATTTGGTTTAATTTAATATATGTATGTTTAATTTTGGTATAATTAAAGACTAAATATTTACTGTGTCCAAATTGTCCGCTTACTATTGTCATTTTTTTCTTAGTTAAGGAAAAATCATACTTTTATTTCTGCCGCATTATTCTATGAAAGTTGGGTGGAGTTATAATTAATCAAAAAAGAAAGGGCATGTGAGTGAAGAATACCAGAATGAGTAATATTAAACTTTTGAGTTAATTCCATTTTTTACCTTAAATTTATAAGTGACAGTCAACTTTTAGTCTTTTTTATCATAACATTCTCATTGATCCTAGTATTATTGTTAAAATGTCGTTAAATATAAAGATATTTTAATATTTTTTATACAAAGTAAGTTGACCCGTTATAGTTTTAAGTTTATTTTTTAAAAATATATATATAGTTGAAGACCGAAATACCCTTGTATTTAACAATATTTAAATTATTTTATTGATAAATGGTTAAAAATAGTCATGTCACAATAATACTAGGACCAAATGTGAATATTCTGCTATAAAAAATAAAAAAAAATTAAAATTAACTGTCACCTATAAATATATTATCAAAATTGGAATTAACTTTTAAAGCTTCATTAACCGTGAAAATTATCTATTGATCTTTTTAGCTTGAGTTAATTTGCTATGAATAATATAAAATAATTTTGTTTTTTTGTAATTTTTTGTTGAGACCACAAGAAAAAATTTATTTATAACGCATTTTTGAGTAAAATTGTGAATTTCCCAACAAATGAAAGTAATATAAAAAGTGTTTGAGTTACCTAGTTATGAAAGATGATGGTTCCCAGCTGGATCTGGACGGTCGTGGAGGCTTCTGCGGCCACCCCACATGTCCCATCATCCCTGTCCCCACCCACCTTTTGTCCCTGAGTAGATTCCAAACTTCTTGTTTTGGTACTCCACTTCACATATTTCTCTTTTCACCCCCACTCAAAATTATTTCTTCTTTTTCCACTTTCATTTTTTTAAATTTTTTCTAACCCAAATTCCACCACTTTTTCCGCTATAAAATCCCAATCAAACACTTAGCCCTTCCTCTACCTCCTCTTATGTTTTCTCCTTTTACACTTTCTACTATTTACTGCCCCTCTGCTCTTTCAGTTTCAAAGGCTCCAGAACCTGATTTCCACCTTTCTTCTTCTTGGGTTTTCTGCAATTCTTGATCTTTTGTTTTTTTTTTGTCTTGAAGATTCTGTTGGAAAATCCTGTTGGTTGATCTGTTCTTGAAGTCTGGGGAATTATTATTATCTGGGGGTGGGGGGGTTTTCTTGAAGCTAATCTTGATGATCAACATATTATTTCTAGTCTTTGAAATTCATGTCTGCAATTCTCAGTGAACTGTTTCTTTCCGGTTGTATGATAAATTCCACATATAGGCGCAGGACCCATTTAGTGCAATCTTTCTCTGTTGTCTTCCTCTACTGGTTTTACTACATTTCATGATTGTGTTTTGCTTCCATATATAGATATATAGATATATATATTATTATTACATATATACATATATAAATATAAAATAAAACCAGCTCTCTCTATCTTTGAATTTCTGAACAACGCTTCTGTTACTGTTAAGATCATCGATCACTATCTGGGTCCTGCTAGTTTTCTCTCTCTCTCTCTCTGTCGTCTGGGCTTTTTTTACTCTTTTTTTAGTGTGTTTTTTATCGGGAATTTTTGTGCAAGCTTAAGTTAAGAAGCTTTGTTTCCATGGCTTCCTCCGGCGTGACGTCACCGGGGTCAAGCGTGCTTCAGAGCTCGGGTTCCGAGGAGGATCTTCAGACGCTGATGGATCAGCGGAAGCGGAAGAGAATGATATCGAACCGGGAATCGGCGCGGCGGTCGCGGATGAGGAAACAGAAGCATTTGGACGATCTGATGGCGCAGGTTTCGCAGCTCCGGAAAGAGAACAACCAGATCGTCACCGCCATGAACGCCACCACCCAGCAGTACCTCAACGTGGAGGCGCACAACTCCATCCTCCGCGCGCAGGTGGCGGAGCTCAGCCACCGCCTGGAGGCGCTGAACGAGATCGTGAGCTTCCTCAACGCCAACAATGGCGGTTTCGCGGCGGCGCTCGAGGAGGAGGAACAGCCCAATTATTCCTGCTACGGCAATTTGGAATCTCCGGCCGATGCGTTTTTCGCGACGAATAACAATTCCTGGAACTTCCTCTACTCCAACCAGCCCATTATCACCTCTGCGTCTGCGGATATCTTGCAATACTGATCGAAAACAGAGAAACCTGTCTTTTAAGCTCCAGGATCCAAGAATGTATTATTAGTAATAGTGTAATGGTTTTAAGGAATAAAATGGTTCTGGTAAATCAAAGAAAAAAAAAATGTTATTTCAGTAGTTGTCATTTGGTCTACCTTTCATTAATGTAATGCAATATTAATAGGAAAATACTATGTGTACTTTTACTATCTGCTCTCAATTTTTACTCTTACACTTAAAATTTTGATATAGACCTTCGTGATGGACTTACATAATTCGTAATGGACTTACATAAAAAAAAAAAGTTTATGAGTATATGTGACATCAGGGAGTAAAATTAAGGAAGTGTGCCCCTGAATTTATTTTAGTGATTTTTTGCTTGACTTGACGGGAAGTAGTAGTCTGAAGTTCAAATCCCACTATAAACATAAATAGGCTTAAATAATTTTTTTTTTTTTAAAAGAAGCCTATGAGTATCTAACATCAGGAAATAAAATTGAGGGAGTGTGCCCCCGAATTTAGTCTAGTGGTTTGTTGCTTGATGATGTCACAACAGGAAGCAACAGTCTAAAGTTCGAATTCCACTAGAAACATGAATAGAGAAAAGGTTTATAATGATAGAAGGTGTGGATTAGATCTCTTGCACGTACATAAAAATTGAATTTGATCGATGGATTAATTGCACAATTTCGATTTACCTTTACAGTAACTCTAGGGGCAAGATCATGTAGGCTTATGATTAGTCTAGTGAATATGTACGCACATAAAAACGAGATCATGTAGGCTTATGATTAGTCTAGTGAATATGCACGCACATAAAAATTGAGTATGATATGGGTTAATTGTCCGTTTTGTAATTTACCTTTGCAGTGACTCTAGGGAGTCTAGGGGCAGGATCACGTGGGCTTATGATTAGTTTAGTGAAGATAGGATTATCTGAAAAAAAAAATGAGAAAATAAGAATTAAGAGTACATGTAGTACAATTTATATTAATATTAATATTAAAATTCCCACCTAATTAAGTGTACTTAGACTTTGAAATACCACATTTTAATTACAATTTAATATATGTTCTTTTGCTTAATCATCTAGGTAACCTCATTAGTTTAACTAAGATCAAGGAAGTAATGCAACATCGACGTTGTAAGGACGTGTAAAACTGGTCCGTGAACCCACCAACCAAAAACATGCGAAAACATAGTACTACCTGAAATCTCATCATTATTATTATTACATATACAACACTGCGTTGCCTTTTAAAAGATCAATAACATATTTAATCTAGGCAGATGTTTTTGAAGAAATTATAACACGCCTTTGATTCAAGGAATAAGAATTTATTTTAGAGTTAATGATATATTGTGTCCTTCGAGTATAATATTTTTACCACGTTTTTAGTCTTAAATTTTTAAATTGTCCATTCGTGATCATTCAACTTTCAAATTATTACCATTCGTGGTACAAGTTAACCATCTATGATTTTTCAATTTTTAAAATTTAACCAACCGTAGTCCTCCTAAAAGGACCATGAGTGATTAAAATTTGATAGTTGAAAAACCATGAGTGGTTAAAATTTGATAGTTGAAAAACCATGAGTGGTTAACTTGGACCACGAATGGTAAAAATTTGAAAGTCGAAAGATTACAAGTGATCAGTTTGATAGTTCAAGATTAAATGTGACAAAATCACTATACTCGGAGGACTCCAAATGGTATTAACTCTTTATTTTATTATTTGGATTGTTAAGTAGATTTTTGAAATTATATTTTATTGTTTGATTGATTTAAAACATAAAAATGGTACAATCATTTAAAAATAGAAGTATCTTTCTTTGATTATTATACATGTAATATGCCCGTTATTAATTAAATAAAAGCAATTTAAATATTATTAGTTATCGATTTTTAATTTGATCATATTTAGTCCTACGATTTTGTTGACCTTGTAACGGAGTATACTATTTTTAATTGACTTTAATTTATGAGACAATCTAATAAAGTCACTCTTTTAAGTGGGAGGTTGTGAATTTTATTCAAAGCATACCTTCAAATATCGCTTATAAATTTTTGTAAATAAAAAAATTAATTTATAATTATTTATGAAGTACAAAAGTAGAGAGGTAGGTAGCTAGGTGTGAGCATCATTTTAGAAGTAATAAAAACCACAAAAAATGATTTAAGAGGAAGTCAAAAGCCGCAAACTGGGTACAAAATTTCAAGATCTATGACAAGTCGCACGTGCATGGAACCAATGTCTTCGGAACAACACTACAATACCACAATCCTAGTTGTAATACTATAATCTCTCTGCTCCCAAAATTCACGATTTATGTCACTTACACTAACATTACACGATTACCCACACTACTAGTTTAATCTGACAAATAAATTAAATGATTTTACTATAAAGTGAAATTGTATAATCACCGACCAATTTCTAACCTCTTCATAACTTACCAACAAAAAGTTTATTCATATAACATTGTAAAAAAAAAAAAAAAATCAAATTACAATGCAAAATAAAGAATGTTTTGGGTTCATTGCTCAATTTAAATTTAAAAAATTATATATATAAAATTCGGTAGAATTTTTCAATATTTAGAATATATAATAAAAATAATATTAGCGGTAAAAATTTTACTTGACATGTCATGTTGTGATTAATTATTGTAATAATGTTAAATCACATGATCTTTTGACTACGCAATCGACCAACAATTAAGATGTGTTACCTATGTTTTAAGAAAAATCTAAAAACACATCTAACAACTTAAATGCCTAACCATCAAAAATTTCTAATGAACTTTGTTGATAGTTAGTAATAGCAACATCTTATGAGCGTTTTTCTAAATCCTCAATATGGTTTTAAAGTTGGTCGAAAAATTCAATTTTTTTTACTATAAGCTCTAAGTTCTAATACTTTTTGGTAGTAAAAAATTTAGGGTGTTCAAACAATTATAGTAGCTAGTATATATTGTTTTTGAGTATATTGGAGAGGAAAACAATCAAAATAAGAAAAAACACATGAATCATGGCTAAATCACACTAAAGGTGTGTTTGGTTCGCACATAGGAATCGGAACCGGAATGAGTATCAAATACTTGGTAATGGTAATGGATTTTGGTGAAAGTATTTAACATGTTTGGTAGTAGAGTGGAATGGGAATAGTTACTAATAGTAGTGCTTGAGAATGAATAAGGGAATGAAACCCTTATTGTATTTGGGTATGGGTTTTTCAATTGATGGGGTATTCGAAACCCATAATAATGTTATAAAAACCTATCAACCAAACAACAACAACAATCACTTTCATACCCATTCCTATGGGCAAAACCCATCAACCAAACACACCCTAAGAATAGAATAAAGTATTAAATCATTTTAGAGTGAAAATCGAAAAACTACCAAACCAAATTGAAGTATTATATTATAATATATAATTGAATTGCTGTCTTGCAATTAGTTCCATTTACTAAACAGCACCAACAAAGCAAAAATAGAGAAACCTATAGGCATTTCTCAAAAATGGGAAAAAGTAACAAAAGTGTACTTAAAACAAACTAAAAGTTGGGTAGCTTAGATAGGAAGATGGAAAGCTAGGAAGTGCATGCAGAGTGGTTTAATTAACTTTTGGGTGTGAAATATAATGAAGAGCACTGGCAAATGGTTGTGCAACTTGATTTCACAGTGGGGTGGGGGTGGGGGTGGAATCTAATGTATAGTAGTTTATGGTTTTTCTTTCGATGCCATTAACTCCCATGAATCTATCTTAGGTAAACATGACAAACCAAAAACAATAATAATAATGTAAGAGATGAGAATTCTTAGTGGTAGGCAATTAAACCAAGTTGTCCCTACACGTGCCCAGTTTTTCTTTCAAAAAGAAACAAAATCTTAACAAGAAGACAAAGGGTTGTCATGTTTTTTAGTCACAATCGAAAAGCACACATTGCTCCATAATCCCGTAGACTCATACGCAATCAGTTTCACGTCCCCACAGCCTTGAACGCTTGCTTTTCCGATCCAAGACTATATACCATGTAATAAACCACTCAAGTTTTAGCTGATTAAGTAGAATTTACTCATTGTTTCAAAATGTTAAAATTCAAAAAGTCGTTTAAAATAGTTTTTTCGATTAGCTTTATGATAAAGTTATTTGGCATATAATCAGCTATCAGCTAACAACTAATTTACTAAACATCTTTCTACAATCAACTAATACTATCAACTAATTAAACTCACTAGCCCAACTAACAGCTATCAGCCAATAGTTATTTGCCAAACACCCTATATGGTGACTAATTCTGGTGTTACACTCTTATCTCTAAAATCTCTAATTTCTAACATTTAATAAGACCAAATGATATTATTTCTTAACTAGAATGAAAATTATGTTGATAGTATAAGTTGTATTAAGTGTAGTGTTTGTTCTTTGTGTTATTTGTATTGTTCCTTTATACCTTTTTCTCAATTTTATCCTTCCCATTTTTTCTTTTAACTTTTATTTAAAAAAAAATTATGCTAAATAATAATATTTTTTACCAACAAAAAATTAAAACTCTATAGTTTAATATTTATAAGATATAAGTGTTTATTTATTAATTTATTTGATAATTTAATTTTACTAGCTTTTTGTTGTTCATTGGATATTATATTATTCACTAGCACATGGTAGGTATTTACAATTTGTGTGTGTGTAAAAGTTAAATGAAGCCTGTTATGTAACTAAATAAATGTCCAATGTTAAAATAATTTGTATAATTTCATTATTAAATGAATATAACATGTACTATTATATACATTGTTTTGGTTAAATACACATGATTTATTAATTCGAGTTTCTACTTATTTAAATAAATATCGCACTCTGTTTTAAAGTTCATATTTTCATATGTTCTTATTTTAGATAGACAAATAAGATTTAATTTTATTTCTCATAAGAACAACTATTCTTAAAATAGTGAATGAATAAGATATATACTTAACTTGAAAAAAAAAAAAAAAAACTTTTGTAAATAACTTTTATTGCATTATTTAAGAAAAAACAACATTTGAGAGGGGGTGGGGGTGGGGGGGGGGTGAAATAGCACTATTTGGAGGAAAACAATATTATGTTGGGCAAAAACTGTTAAAATATGTAAAAGTTTAAACAAAAGGTATAATGACATTTTTATAAATATGTAAACAAAAAATGCAACATTTTTAA